TACTGGATCTCACCTTGGGCTCCTCGGCCGAAACATGAACTAATCAAAAAAACAAAAAAAACGCGGATGATAAAATACGTCCGTCACACGCTATTTTTTGCGTCATAGAGTAGACACAATGTGCCACGCTGGCTAGCATTTCAGAAGATACTGGCCGGGTCTTGATCAGAAAGCGTCAAAAATCCTCGACGAAACGATGCACATCGTTTCGTCGTAAAATCAACTTTGGAATGACAACAAGTGCCTATGAACAAAAAAAACCGTGCCAATTTCAAAAATGCTCCGAAGTGCTGCGCTGGCCAATGATTTCAAGCACCGCCACGGACACGAAATTGCAACAGAATCCCTGGACGTCCACTCAGAACCCCCAAAACTGTCCCTGGAAGTGAACCCGTCTGCAAGGTTTAGGGTTTAGGGACTATGGTTTAGGATTTAGGGCTTGGGATTTAAGGTTCAGGGTTTAAGGTCCAGGGATTAGGGTTTAGGATTTAGGGTTTAGGGGGTGAAGGTTTTGGAGTGTAGGGTTTCAGAGTTTAGGGTTTGCTTTTCCCGAAACTCACATTTAAGAGATTTTTGGTTTGGGGCTTAGGCATTTAGAGTCTAGGGGCTACTTTAGCAAGCGTTGCCCCTTGTACATTGGGGCTTCAGAATTGCAAAACGGAAGGGTCTGTTGGATCCAGGCTTGGGTGCCAAGGCCATGGAAGAAGGCATGGTCGAACCCTGAGTAGATTTCGCACAGTTTTTGAAGGCGAGGGAAATTCCCGCTCGCGTTTCATACCTTACTCGTGGCCCTGTATGGAAGGATGGAGCGGAATCTAAGGATGATTGCTGCGAATCCGGGATCTCTGTTAAATCAACCGCCGGCAGCTCCTTGCCCAATGTCAAATCACGCCACACGCACTGAATGCTGCAGTCACAGACACTGTACTTGGAGGGTCAGGGAAACATAGTAAGTAGGTTACTAACCCCTATAACCCATATAGTAATCATCCCCATTTATTAGCCCACTTACTAAGTCCCCCCGACCCTCCAAGTAGCTCTAGCCTACCTGCCTAACCCACACGGCGCACTAATCCTGCGGTACTGTGGGCTCACCATCCTCAGAACCTTACTGGTTCTCAGTAGGGAATATGGGAGTATAATCCCTATAGAACCCCTATCTATACAATATACATATTCCCTACTAAGAACCAATAAGAAACAGCAATACAACATTGAGCCCACACTGCCCCGCCCAGAGAATGATTATGAACGCTAATCCGCTAAGGCCCTTGACCATGAGACCCTTATAGTCTCCCTTAAGTAGCTAGAAAAAGAGGTTTAGGAGGATCTTATTATAACATAACCAAAGCCATATTCTATCTGCTTAAGGGGGACTCTAACCATGTTCTGTTGCTTGTCCCAGCCTTCCAAGCAAATCACGATTTCTGGGAAGTACCATCAACGTCACCACGAACAGGGTCTAATAAACGATCTGATACTGCAACCCTACAGACGATGAAACGCTCTGATTGGGGGAACTGTAGTTTTTCCAGACTTCGCCCTAGATTCCCAGATTTATAAGGTTACATGAGGGACATATAGGGATCATATGAGGATTATGGAAAACAAAATGAAAACTACTAGTTAGGGTTAGGGCTTGAGTCTTAGCCCTAAGCCATGTCGTGAGCAAAGATCCCAGTGCCTCGCCATCACCGCCTTCAGGCCGTGATGTAACCTGCTGAATATCGTGCGGCTTTGGAAGCGGCATAAGGAACAACAAGTATGTGACCCAAAACACAAACTTTATACCAGGAGTTCCAGAAGTCAAGGGGTTTCAGAAATTCCAGACAGTCCGATACCAAGTTTGCATCTGCTTCGGTTGGAATGATGCGGAGGCGGTGCATCTCCCTAAGCCCTAAACCCCATGAGTTCATGGGTTCCCCCTGCCCGGAGAATATGTTTTCCCCTGCTCCCTGGAAGTAACGAAGCAGGGAAAACCGATGTGCGCGGTTGGGGATTGGCGTTTCGCGCCTATGACGTATTGCCCCCTATACTACCCACCCTCGGAGAGAGCCCCATTTAAGGGGGGAACCTTGGGGGAAGGTAGATAAGGGGTTAACTAATAACGTGAGGGCAGGTTCCGGAGAGAAGCCAATTTTTACCCGACATATGCCGACAGCCATCCGCTTCAACTTATTAGGGGATCTGGGCTTCATCTGCAACTTTTCTCGAGACAATGACTCATATATATATATACATATACATATATATATATAATGTATACATATATACATATATAGATATTCCTCATAGAATTTCAGAATAACAGAAATGCAAGTGTCGTATTCAACAATGACCCAATCAAGGGGAGGCCTGACAAATTAGGAGAACGCTGCAGTGGTACCAGAATGCTTCTGACCAAAAAAAGCTCCAATCAGCCAAGCACCTGGTCTTGGGGTATGTGCAGTCTAGGGCTTGGGGTTTAGGGTTTAAGGCTTAGGGTTTAGGTAACCCCCTCCTATCATGATACTTCTGTTGACCACACGAGTGAGGGGAAGACAGAAGCAACTCTTTCGCCAAGCTGCACAAATTCACTGAGACCACGAACGCCACTTTTCGCGGCTTCCTTGCACATGGAACAAGTTGACTCATATGAATTGATGCAACAGAACCTTCAACAGGTTGCCAGCTGCACATGCGCTTATCTAGGCCTCTTTCGGAAATTCAAGCACTCGGAAAGGGAATCTGAACTGACAACACACGCAATCTGTCATTTCGGTTGCACACATGGCCCGCCTATAAGCAAAAGCCATCCCAACATGACGTCAGCAAAAGGGCACGCCATCGGTCAAGAGATAACTTCGAATCCATCGCGGACGAAAAGCTTCAAGCTCATATCGAAATACGCACTTGATATTTGGTCTATTTTGGCTCATAGGATTTTGACCCATCGACCCCGTGCAAAGCTCAGAACAACAATGAGGTTTTCTGGCAACAGCAAACCCCGTGTTTCCAAGGCTCTGATCCAGTTTCTGTACGTTTCTTCTCCAGAAGCTGCGCACTCCAGTGCTTCTGCACCTGCACGCGGATCGAAGAATAACCACAATGCGCAGAGCGAGGTGACAATGCTTCTTTCCCTGACGTGCCAAATTCATACATGACACGACGGAGCGGGAGAGGTAGACCGTGATGTATACTGCTATGGTCACACAACTCATGTAGACAGGTTCTTGGCTTGTGCAAATTTTGCCATCAGTACTAATCTGCAAGTTTGGACCAAGAACTCTCCATTCGGCATATCCGCTAATTACAAAGAAAACAGAATTCTGACAGCCAATTTCACCCTTGGTCTCAAGAGGCTTTAAGTCTATTCATATCCAATTCCACTGCAGAAGGACTGCCATCATTCCTCCCCCGGCCTGCCTTCTCAAATCAGATCCCCACGACAGAGCGATTCCTACCGCCTTCCAAAAAAAGACCTGCATTCTCATGATTCATACGCGGTCTAGGCTACATCCACAGAGAAATCATGATGTTGAGAAGCCTTCAAGTGGGGATTGAACAAAACAACCTCCTGAACCCTCAACCCTAAGCCATAAACCTCTGTTGGGACCCCTATATCTGCCTGGCGAGTGTAATTAATGCAAGATTTACCCATACCACTCTGAGGTACAAAGTACTCTAACTATACAAGGGCTCTAGAACCACGTCACTGGCATGTCTCCTGATAATGCCACTGTATTAACCCAGCTTTGATTTCAGTATCTAAAATTCCTTTGATTCTTCATTATTTGGGGTAATATCCCTGAGCCCTGAACGCCAAATAGCCGTCTAATTTGCTTTTGCAATCCCCCATATATTCGGTAAACCCAGCTAATTCCTAGTACACTTTGACATAAGCCCCTGGTTTTGGTAAACTCTCAGCTCAGCCCAACCTTTTCCGCAGCTTTTGGTCCTAGCCTGGGCGTGGTGTTGCTACAGTGAAGGACGGACATCTTGCACCACCGAGACCCAGTTTTGAACCCACTTGGCACTAACCCTAAACCCTAAACACTTTGCGCGCTAAAGTCTAGGAGTAGCCCCTGCTTTGAGTGATTCGCATGCATAGGGCGCGGTCCGAAAACTTTGTAACTCATATTGCAATCCATCATGGGGTATAAGATTCATGTTTGTGAACGCAATTTGCTATGCCAACTTCTGGTAACGCCGATGCCAACCAAAGTCTGGTATTGATGCTTCGAGCATACAGGAGACTTGAGGAAATTAGCCTTTGTCTAGCTCATGGAGCTTAAGCTAATCAACAGTGGGCTGGGGGGGGGGGGTCTTCTAAACTCAGTTCTAGTTAGAGTGAATGTGCACGGGTGCCTCAGACCGAAAAGCAACCCTAAACCCTCAACCCTTGATCTCAGAACCTAACACAGAGCGTTTAGGGTTTAGGGCTTTGAGGTTTGTTTGAGGTACCGTACAACATACTTACTCAAGGAACCTAGAACCATAATATTGCTCGTAAGTTTGGCCCTTACCTCACAATCCCTATGAACCCCATCTAGACCCGGGTCTCCTTTCCCTTTTGATTCTCTACTAATGTAACCCTAAACTCCAGACATTGCTGCACAACCTCCCTGTATAAGCTCCCAATGTTGGTGATAACTTAGGCCCCTATAATATTTGTAGTTGGTAGCCTGAACTCCTCCCCTTGCTTTCACGGAACCTGCGTAAGTTGCACCATTTGGCTTTCAGGGTTCAGGGGGGGGTATTTATTTAGGACTCCAAGCCATCCCAAACCTAAGCGTACAAACCCTGAGGGTTAGGAGTTTGGGGCTGTCTAAAGACGGGTTGCACCATGACGATGCGCTGCTCCACCGCAGACTTCGCCTTCCACGGCATATATGGAAAGTTTATCTAACTTACCCCATATAGCCCCCAAAGCTAAACCCATACATCCCTAAGGTTTCTAAGAGCTCCAATTTCAAAAGATTCCCATGGTTGGGAGATTTTAGGTTGATTGCTGATACCTTGGGACCATTGGAGGCGATGAAGTGTAGGCTTCCGGCTTCAGGGTTTGCAGGGCATGCAACTGCGAGTTGAGTAGTCTTTTTTTGGTGGTTGAACATAGTAAGATAATATTCTATATATATATATACTTATAATAAGCCCAAAAGGAGGACATAATCTTACTCTATATAGGGTACCATAGTATTCTCAAATAAAATACTACACAGTTGAGGGCTTAGGGTTCAGGGTGAAAAAAACATGCGTTTGAGAAGGGTTACACTTCCAAATGTTCGGCCACCGCCTGCGCAATCTGCGCGCGTGTGCCCTGCAACACCAGCCGTCGTAGCTGCGCTCCTTCAGAAGTCCTTAGTAGCAAGCTCAGGATGTAGTTCCCCTCAAGTAGATAGAATAGGGTTTTGGGTATATTAAAATAGGACCCCTATGTATATATATATATATGTATATATATGTCTCCCATATTCTATCTACTTAAGGGGACTATAGGTCTAGGGCTTCATGGGATTGGGCAGCGCATTGCAAAATGGAGTCGTTCAGATGGATGAAGACATAATGGTATATAGGGGTTACCCTGTCCTAAGCACTTTGTATGGATGAATTGGGCTTCCATGCTAGTTCGGTGGAAGCTGCTCAAGTACTTATGTGATGAGTGCTACGCTCCCAAGAACCCTCAGCATGATAGCATCCCTCCTGGAGGATTAACTCAAATTACAAGGGATGCTGTGGCGCTATATAGGAATTCTATTCAGGCATATAGGGTTTAGGGAAACTGCAAAATAACTTTAACTGATACTTGCAACCCAACTAAAATTGTTTTAAGGGGACCCAGGGGGCTCGTACTTGTGATTATAACTGCTGCAATGAGCGCTATAGTATACCAGGTCCCTAGAAGGGGAGCACCGCAGGCGCTATGTAGCAACATTTAGGGCAGTAATGTTGCACTGGCTCTGGTGAAGCGACCTTGAATATTGTGTTTTGGCCGCCACTTATTCAATTTCAGGCCATCGTTGGGAAGACCTTGAATAATACGTTCAGGTTTTGGGGCCTGAAAATACAGGACCGAATCCAGACCATCCCCTTTAGAGTAATCCCCAAGTCCTCCCGGGGCTCTGGGTACCGCAGGAGCCGTTTTTTGAGGACGCTATTATTTGCTTGTCTTGTTTCTGGACCCCCTCTGGTTGGCTGGGGGGATAAAGTTTGATGGAGGTGGAACATTACTGCCCTAAGAACCGGGGCCCAACGGAAAATGAAATGGAAACTAGAGGTCTGTAGGGGCATGTGGGGGGTGGATAGTAGGACTCTAGACCCTACACCCTAAACCCAGGCTGTCAAACTATTGTCCCTTTGGCTCTGTATTCTGATACGGGTCCGAGTCTGAAGTCTAGCCCCACAGCGGACCGCGGAGTTAACATGAAGAGGGCCCATACAGCCCTTGCGCTTCGCGATTCATATGTGGTGTATATCGAAATGATCTAGAATGGTACCAAGGAAATCTCCAAGTGGGCAGTTATCCCCTTTACCAAAGAAGTAAATCGACCACAATAAGCCCCATCACCATTGTACGAGCATTGTATAAGTCTTATAGGGGGGGTACACCCATCTGGCAATTCACCTGGGGCTGTCCCTGATAGCGCAGGAGACACACGGAGTAAGTGCAGGGGTTCACAACATTGTGGATGTCTTCCTGTGCGTAGTTCTGGTCTCTCTTCGGCGGATACTACAAATCCTGCATGACCTAAATAGCTTAAACCCCTTAAGCCCAAACCTTGGGAAGTATGGAACTATAGCATGCTAAGGTCATGCAGATTTTCTTACTGGTTGTTAGTAGGGAACATTGGAATATAATCCCTATTCCCAAATAAGAACCAGTAAGTTTGAGTATCTATGTATATATATATATGCACACCCTATAATCCCTATGTAACCAATTACGAGTATAATAGTTTCCATTTTCTTTTCCAATATCCCTATGTAAACCCCAATCTATAAGCTTGTGCTCCCTGAGCCCGGCTCTTCGCATCCAGAGACGTCGACTTGACGCCTGACTCGAGTAGTTTAAGATGTGCCGAACTTGTGTCCCGACAATCAGGACTATCCCGTATGGTGGGGTATATATTGGGGTCCGCCTATGACGGAAGCTACCATTTTGTGGGTGCTTCCCGCATGCTGCCATATATGACCGCGTGCAGAGGTGGAACCTGAAAGGTTGCAAACCAAACATGGGGTCTAGGGTTTAGGGATTTCCGCCGCCTGTGGCTTGCTCGATCTCCTTGATGCCCTTACCACCTCAGTTCCGCAAAAGCCATGGAAGCGAGAGTCACAGGATTGAGGAACTACATGTAGGGCCATAGGGCTTGCAGAGCCACGCCAGTCTTGAGAAACCAAATTTTCTCTATCGAATAAACCCCGTGCAGAAGAGTCTACCAACCTGGGCATTGCCATAAACAAAGACCTTGAAATATGGCTTTGACATTGGCTTCGGCTTCTTCCCGCCAAACATACTTCAGGGAATGATGCATTGGGAATAAGGGTTCTTCTTAGGAAATACATACGAACTGCTTTCGGAACCGATTCCCCCTACTCACCTGTAAGATCAGAAGGGGCCAGTTTTGGCAGGGCTCTCCATCGATACCGAGCAGCACAAGGCGGGCAACGCATCTCTGATGAGATCGCAAAGTGTAATGTAATCACTTCCCTCCATGCCCTAGTCCTAAACAACCCCATCACAGCCCAAAATCTACTATGTATTCGCACACATAATTTCATATATACACATACACTAGAGTATGCCCGCATTCAAGCATATACAGGATACGCATGTATATACACATGCACAACTTCTGTGCTCCTGTATTTTCCATATCATTACAGCTAATTGGGGGGCGATGCTTCAATATGTCAGCCGAGGGTGCCCTTGCCAATGACGGCGCCCATCGCCTTGGCGTTCAGCTCCAATTCCTCCTCGGCCTGCTGATCAGGTTGGTGATAGCCCCCCTTAAGTAGATAGAATATGGGGTATATGGGGATCTTATTGCAATATACCCAAAGCCGTTTTCTATCTAAAGGGGGACTATAGGGTCACAAGGGAAGTGTAGGGGTTATATGGGGAGCACTTTGAGGTTCTACACACTTTATGAAGGGAAATTTGCCATTGTAGGATCCGGATGAAACTCTCTATGAACTTGCCGTGTAGTGACACCAATGTAGGGTTTAGGGCTTCAGCCTACCTGGGAGATAATGCTGTGAGCATCTAGGGTTTGGGAGTGTTGGGGTTGATAAGTAGAATACTGGAAGCTTAATTCGGACAGAAGAAGGAACATGACATGGACCAGAGGGCCTAGATGTGTTCAGCAAGGTAAGCAGAGGATTTTGGTAACCCTGCTCCTCAAAACTAGGACCCCCCAAGAGTATCGTATGACGATAATTAGGAAGCGAACTTTGGAGTTGGGATTACCAAGCCCTAAGCCCTGGACATTTTATGTAACATCTCGAGGTTGCGAAGGCTGTAGGGCTTGTTAGGTCGCATGTCCCCGTCTCAAGTCCCACGAGCGCCATCGGCAAGTTTGTTCTTGTATAAGCTTCTACGACTCAAGAAGCCCTTCCATGGCCCCAAAACCCCTTCAGATTCTTCCTATGAGGACCCCTAGACATGGAACCAACATCTTGAGAAACCCCCATGTCTGGCATATTGATTCGCCTGTCTTCAGGGCAAACCAGCTTACCCTGCTTCTGAAAGGATGGTTGGATGGTTTTACCCTCTCCTAAGCCCGAGTACATTATAATATGTTATCATATATTCTAATACATTACAGTACATTCTCCGAATAAGAGGTTCGCAAGTCGTACGTGTGGGGAAATGTCAATGTCAAGCCCGCCTGAGCATCCGCATCTTCGAAATCCTTGGAGCGCTGTGGGAATCAGTGCAATATGGGGCTGCTTCAGGATTTATTACTACTATTATTACTATTAGCTATATAATGACTATTACTACTTTTATTACTATTAGCAATATTATGACTATTACTACTATTATTACTATCACTAATATTATGACTATTACTACTATTATTACTATTACCAATATTATGACTAATACTACTATTATTACTATTAGTAATATTATGACTATTACTACTGTTATTATTCCCCCCCCCGGAGAGGTTAGAGAGCTCTGGATACTGCTTGTAAAGAAACGTTGGCAATGCCGACCCGTTGACACATGCCAGTAGCACCCTGCAATACTTCTGCGCGCACAAGCCTGGATGCTGGGATGATGTCTAAACTGTTGGCCTTCTTGAGCTTTTCAACCCTCCCCTGTAGTAATGAACCCTCCTACCTAGTAGTCAACACCCCCAATATAATACCAACATAGAAACTGGGGAGAACTTATTTCTAGGGGGTGGTAAGGTTGTATATAAGGGGGAAGCAAGGGACCAGGGATTTCACAGCCACGCAGCGGATGCCAGCACAGAGGGCGGGATGACTGTGACCCACAAAGAAGCACTATCACCTTGGGCTGAGAGGGTTGAGGGTTCATGTGGTTTAGGGGAATTAGGGGCTTTGGGGTTAATGGAGCTTTGGGTACCAAAGGGATGTATGGGGATTATGAGGGCAAGACGGTCAAACGATTGAGGGTAAATATTTGACCTGTTCGACGCTTTTAGAGATTCAAGATGTGATGGGTCAGTGTTCAGAATATCGGGAACGGTGAGATGCGAAAGATCGTAGCTAGTTTGCAATACAAGCCTCCAGGTGGGTGCATGCGCGGTCATCGGGCAGGACGTCCAGGTCATGGTTCATGCTTTCTCCAATGATTAGTCAGTCAGGCTTTGCCTACTGCAGTGCGGGGCTGTAGAGAAGTGAGGTACTGTACTTCTGAAGGCTCGTGTTTGGCTGGGGTCTTCTAGCCCGTCGACTGGAGCTGTCAGTTCCCATAGACCACATGACATATGAAGCGGTTGTCCTGTGAGACCTTCTATCAAGCCTTTTGCAGCCAGTACGCGTAATCGGGGCTTCAGAGGGAAACCAGGGAAAGATCGAATCACAGGCAAAAAAACTTCCAAGCTATACTTACTCGGACTTCGCTTCTGATGGTATCCAAAGCCCTAGGGATGCAAAAAGCCCCAGGTAGCTATCAGTTATAGACTTTGGTGCCTAAGTGGGTAGATTAGTAGGTTGAGACCTCGGGTAAGCAAACCAGATTCTTCGAGACTAGCCACTGATTTCGGGTGCCTTCGCCGCTGGCGCTTTTGGCGCATCGGAGGACTTCGCCCCTGGGTCTACTGTTGGCGCTGCCTGCCGATGTGCTCCAACCGTGTAGGCTTAGTGATCCTAAAGATGAAGCGTATAAACATGATCCCTCTCCAATACTAAACCCCCGCAATGTAGTATCGTTATATACAAGGGGGAACGTGCATTGTTCGGGCTCTTGCGAGGGGGGAGCCCTGTAGAACTCCGGTGTCCATTTCATTTTCCATTCGATTCTGCATTATTTCAGCTTTAAACCCTCCTGTATAACCCTCACATAATCCTATAAGGGTATCCCTATACAGCGCTTATATACCCCCATTTATTCTATTCTCTTCCTATAAATCACAAACAGGAGCATCAAGGGGATCCTTCCTAGGGATTGCACGGACAATTGTTGAAGGATGAGGTGGGAACAACTTGGTCATGTCTCAAGCGAGGGCACCCCTAAAACGTCAGGACCTGAAGAGTAAACACACACTACATAACTTAGGTGTGACCCCCCACCCAGTAATGGGGACTATAAGGGATAATAAGGATTATATTAGGTCATCTTATATTCTAAGGGGCGGGTCCTCCTCATACATAGACCTTATTCAGCAGCGATGGTTGTGCGATCCCGCTTCCAGCAAGTATACAACCGCTGTTCAGGGGTTTGGGTACCTTTCAGCCCTTTGCACGCCTACACAATGCTTGTAAAGCCCTGGATAAACCTCACACCCTTACTCCGGTGAATCCCCCTGCGATTCCAAAGCCTACATCCCAAGCCCTATTCCAAAAACCAAGCAATACAGTAGCTTCGATTTTTACATAGTCCTGATAATCTGAACCCTAAACCCTAAACCCCTAAACCCAGTCTTGCGCGCCTGAACAGACGCTGGAGGCCCGGCGCCCACGGATCCCGGGGAGGCCCAGAGGAAGGTCATTTTGCCACGCTCCTGGTTTTTATCAGGGCTCAAGGATTTGGATTTGGGGGGTTTTAATTCAGCTTCTAGGGGCCTCTAAATCTTAAGACTTGATGGTTGAGGGCCTGGGATCTAGATTTCTGAGTTTAACCACCATCCAAAGCGTACAGGGGCCAACTCAAAATGATGGGTCAATTCTAAGGTCCCAAGAATTTAGTTTGAGGGTTGTCCATGCAAAGCCATTGCGAGCCTTGCTGCTACCAAAGCGACTGATGTTGCCAGTCATTTGGCCACGACGGGACCTTGCCCTGTTGCTGCTTTTGCTTAAGGAATTCTCTTTCATGTTTGGATCCAGAATTTTCAGAGCTTCTACAGACAGACCTGCCGCTGTCAACCAGGAACTGCCTGGAGTTTTACCTTGCGTGAGGTTTGCCATTAATGCTCGAGTTGTAAGATGGTGCGGTGGAGCTTGGATATCCCGCATCAGGAAACATCAAATGGGTAGAGCCGCTCTGCTGGCTACAGCTGATCAACCGCGAGCCTGCGAAAGGTTCCTCAGCCTCCTCTACAACATACGTAAGCCCCTGCAAGAATGCCATATGTCAGGTTCTGAAAAGCCCCAGGAGATATGCCATATCTCTTAAGAGGTAAGTCAGGATGGGATGCCCAGAAGCACATGTATCATTTAATGGCACGCGCAACGTACCCCGGAACAACTTGAAAGAATCGTAACCCAGAGGCATATACTTCCCTGTAAAATGGCCCTCACAGCGTGCCCCAAAGACTTGAAGAATGATCCATCCTACACACGTAACTTCCGTACAAAATGGCCAGCCTCGGGTTCTCAGAAACAAAGCTCTGCATAAAGTGGCCCCTTATAAAATGGCAAAACCCATTTTAGGGGTAGCATGAGTTACCCATTCTATAGGTGGGATTCTGGAGGGGTGTATTGCCACTATCCTTCTCAGGTCTACATGAGGTACCCTATACTAGCATCATACCAGGAAGCCTAAAGCCTAAAAAGTTTCAACCATAACATCGGTAATCATCCCTAGGAGCCGGTATTAAACACCAGTTTTTGTTTTCCGTGCTCTTTTCCATTTGATTCCCCATTATTGGTGTAAATCCCCAACCCCTAAACCCTCAATGACAATTTCGATGTTCTTTTCCATAACCTCTATAAAATTCCTATAATCAGCCTATATCATCCCTAATGATTTAGGCCCTAAACCCTAAACCTTGACCCCTAAACCTTAAACCCTAAACCCGAAAACCTTGAACCCGAACCCTAAACCTTAAACCCTAAACCTTAAAACCTGAACCTTGAACCCTAAACCCTAATCCTTAAACCCTGAACCTTAAACCCTAAACCCCAAACCCTCATCCTTGATCTCTGGAGCAGCCCGGGCCTCTGTGCTCCAACCCAGCCTCTAGCCCTGGTGATACATAGGGCTTAGGTTTGGAGGCTATAATGGGATAATAGAAATGAAAACTATAGGAATTATAGGGATTATATAAGGGTTATGTAGATAGGGAGTGTACTGGGTTTTATTGGGATAATGGAAAAGAAAATGGAGACTACTGTAGTATAATAGGGTATAGTATAGGGTTTTATTGGGGTATTGGAAAAGAAAATGGAAACTCTTATAATAGGCCTACAATCCCTGGCTATAGGGTTCAGGTCGCAGGGTAATTACAAAGCTTGAAATGACAACATCGTGGACTACTTTCTATATAAACCACGATGTAAGTTGAAGTCGGCTGAGGTCGTTAGACTTTTCC